TCGTTGCCGCACCCATACAACCATTTCCCCCTAACACCCCCCAAGCATTGCCAATGTGCCGCTCATGGCGGTTCACCCAGCATTAAGAAAGAACGAAGAAGGAAAAAAAAAAAAAACGGACCCCACGGCATGTGCCGGACTCCATGACCGTTCGTGAGATGCACTCACCTCAATGAAAACGGTGAAGTGGCTCACAATTCCAGAACGGGCTGCTGCAAAGCTCCGGCTTGCATAAGCAATGGGATGCCTTGATGCGTCCACTGCCTTCAACCCAGACTGTTTTCATAGGTTTTTGGGCAGCCAGTCCATGCACAACGACTGGCAGATTATTATGGGACACACAACACATGTTGTGCGCCATGTTGTGCTGTGTGCTGCCAAAGGACAAACAAACAACACAGTTCAACACACAACAGTCTGTCCTTTGCCTTTTTTTTTTTTCTCAGAGTTAAGAACTTAAGAATGTCTTTCACCTTTTTTTTTTCTTTTTTTTTTCTTCTTTGGGAGCTGCAAATGTGCGGCATCACCGGCGTGCAGCCCGTGTGGGGTCGCACCAACCCACACAGTCATACCAACCTGCGTTGTCGGGGTCCCCCGCCGCTGTGCAGGCCCGCGGATGCAGGGTCCAGAATCCAGATGTGGGGCGGGGGCAGGGGTTACCCGCTGCGGGGCGGGGGTCGGGGTTGCGGGGGCGGCGAACAGTGGTCGACGGTGGTGGGGTTCCGGTGGTCGGGTTGCGGGAGCAGGGAACGGTGGTCGGTGGTGACGGGGCTCCTGTGGTCGGGGTTGAGGGGGCGGGGAACGGTGGTCAGTGGTGGCGGGGTTCCGGTGGTCGGGGGTCCACGGGCGGGGGTCGGGCCGCGTGGCGGCGGGGTTCCCTTGCAGGCACCCGGGGGTCGGACGGCGGGGTCGGTGGCGGTGGCAGGGATGCGGGTGCGGGGTTTGTCTAGTGGGGGTCGGTGGTCGGAGCGCGGGGGTGCGGGGTTGCTGGTGGGGCCGGCGCTACGGATGCGGGTTCGGTTAGCGGGTTCCGAGTGGCGAGGTTGCGGCGCCGGGGTTCTTCTTCGGACGGGGTCGCGGGGGCGGTGCTGCGGTGTGGTCGTTGGTGTGCGGAGCCGGTGGCGGGCCTGCGGGGTTGGACGGCGGGGTACCCGGGGCTGGGCGGCGGCGGGGGTCATCCCACGGGCCGGGGTGGATGATCCCCGTGGAGGGGGTCCGGGGGCCGGTCTCTCACACCGGCTTCGCCCCCCGAAGATCCTCGCTCGACAACGCTGCCCGGGGTTGTTGAAGGAGGAGACTTGGGAGAAGGAAATAAATGAGAAGAGTGAGATGAAGAGGATGGTGGACTAGGTGGTCCATTCCCATTGGACGTCGTCTGAATTGTGAGACCAACAAATTTCATAGCATCTCCCATCAACTTTCTCACTTCTTTCTTGTCTTCTTTTTCTTCTTGTTTTTCCTCACCGTCTAACTGGTTTTTTCCTTTCACAATGTTTGTGATTACTCGCAATCCTACAACAATCTCATCTAATTGAGCTCGCTGCGTATCAATTTTCTCTTTGAGAAAGGTAAGGCCTATCACAATATGAGACAACGTATGTGATATGTCAGTCTGTTCTCCAACTTTTGTTCCAATTACCTGTCTAATTTCTTTAACTCTTTATCCTTTTCTTTGTTCCTGTTCTCTTCTTCTGGTCAATTTTTCTTTCTTTCTTTCTTCCGCGGCCAATGTCTCTTTCAACTGCTGGATATTTGCATCAATTGTAGCCTCTGTTACTTCTGGCTTAGTGTCGCCTTTACGAGTCGCTTCCATTATTTCTTCCAGCTGCTTCAAGGCAAACTAATCCAACGCCTGTCGGCACTGGGCAATCAGTTTGGAGACTTCGGTCCTGGCTGCCACAACCTCCACAATTGTGATAGATTTCTTCAGACGGTCATCAACCGCCTGCAAATCAAATCTATCACGGATGTGTTGTTCAACATCCGGTCCAGACAGATGTACCTCGGTCAAGAACTGGTTCCATAAGGCCAACCACTCTTGTTTCTTATTATCAGAGTCTTAAGCTCAGATGGTCCTTCGCCCACGGAGAGTGTGATCGGAATAGGAAACAAGAATGTGGTCACGAATCTCGTCAGAATAGACTTTTGCAAACATTTTCAGAAGTAAGAGATTTTCGGAGGACAGAAACATGAAAATTCGTCGGCAAGGTTATTCTACCGCAAAAATAAATAAAAGAGACAATAATTTTAACGGTTACGGACTGGGTCACCCGAACCAGATTCACACTATCTTGAACAAAAAGTTTTAGTAACAAGGAACATAAATTTTACTAATTCCGATTGTTGTTCTTATTTCAATGTGATGACGCTCTATTCTATTTCAGGTACCGCGACTCAGACCAACATGATCATCAACACACACAAGTAAGTACAAAGGCACACAACATAGCACTTAAGTCTGCCAACAATATCACAATAATAATTAGCGTTCTTTCCTTGCTGTTGCTTTTTTTTCAATCCTGTGTAATCAGCACCCAATCTGACGTTTGGCACCACAGCCAAGTCAGTCTTCTAGCCGTGTTGCTTCGGTCATCAGAAGGCAACTCTTACTTAAGAACAACCGTGCCTGCCACGTGACACCCTTGGCATGCCAACTCTGCAACTCGAAGAGTATGTCAGGTCAGCATGTCCAATCATAGTCATCAACGGGGTGCCCGTCAACAATGTGTGTTGATGTCGAAGTCAAGTTCCTGCCTGCCACGTGTATCCCCTAGTGTGCCAACACAGCAGCGCTTGAGTCTGCCACATCAGCACTATGATCCAGACAGCAACATCAGTGGAATATACGTCAGAAGCAGTACCAGCATGTCGTACAATGTCACGTAAGCCAGCTAATGGAGTGCCACGTCAGACAATGCCACGTCAGTTGAAGCCTCTCACCACAGTAAACGAATGGTGAGTCAGCAATGCCACGTCAACACTCCCTAAGAATCACCGGCCACGTCAGCAGTGTCGTCCCGATCACAAATGCGGTCAATCAAAATCTGGATCGCAATGCGATCCTGCTGGTCTTCCCTGGTCGAGATACCAATGCCACATCAGCACCTGACGTGCGCTATCCCTCTCTTGTCCATGTCAGCTTCTTGTTGTAGACGTCACCATTTCCACCGTCGTAAAAGTCGTCGTCGTAGTCTGTCACATCATCGGAAGTATCGCTCCGATACCAAATTGCAATGAACCCAGATCGTGAAGACACTTGTCAACAATGCCAGCCCATATAGATATCAACCTGCTGATGAATGTCAAATAATCATAATTGTGTCCAGATAGAATGAGGTGGGAAATCATACACAGACGAAGGAGAGAGAGAGGAGAATAGATTGAGAGGGGAGAAATCATCAATGCCCACTCCTGCTTCGGGCTCCCTCCTCTCTCGCCACATCAATAATCAACAACCTGCTCTCAATGTGCCACGTGGCACGTCAGCCTGTCCTCATCAGCAAACTGGAGAATGTCGACATCAAGATACCAGGTAGGTATGTACGATAACCCCCGAGTCTTGATCTCCTTCCGAAGTGACAATGAATCAGAACAGCACTATCAATCACGTAGCCCAGCCACGTCAGAGTACATGTGGCAGCAGCCACGTCAGCGGCGGCGCGTGGCAGCTACCACGTCAGCATGCCAGAAGACAATTGCCAGCCAGCCACCATGCCAGCCAGCAGCGCGGAGCCGTCTCTCCTCATGTGCCAGCATAGAGCCAGCGTCCAGCCAGTGTCGCAGCGTCGCACCAGCGTCAAAGTCAACGCGTGAAGTCAGCATTGACGCAAGACTGAATGAATGTCAAAGCCAAAGAGTCAGCTCTTATGTAGAATTGACGTGGGGTCTGGACCCCGGATGCTGTATCCCTCAGCCGTCCAGATCTCAATACGAATTAGGGCCCAGATTGGCCTGAAACCGAATTCCCTCCGGCCTGGATGCTGTCTGGGTACCTGCGCACAACAAGTGAGTGTATCCAACCAAGGGCCTGGGTGCGGTACCTTTGACTCTACAGTTGACTTTGACTCTTGAATTTTCTGTGCAGCATTCGGTCACACAGCCACACTCGACAGACTCAGGCCTGGGCGTGTCTTGGTCACACAGCCCAGTGCAGACCAACTCTGGTCTGCGTTTCCTGGGGCTGAGTTCTGAGCCCCAGGCTACTTCTGAACAGGGTTACTGCACATTTAAAATGTTAAAAAAAAAAAAAAAAAAAAAAAAAGGGGGATGCTCTCAGGCTGAGGGAAAAGACTGTTTTGAGGATTCAAAAGGCCTACAAGCTAGTCCAATGACTTTTGTGGAATAAGCTCGTTGGGCAATTTGGGAGAAGATAAAAATAAGAGACAACTGCGCCGGTGACTGCTGCACGGTTCAGAATTTGCAGAAATAACAGTCAACTGCAAGATTGGGCACAGAGAAGTTAGAAACTGCTAGATTGGGCAAAGAGCAGTTAGAAACTGCAAGAAAAACAGTAAACAGCGCGTTTGACGGCCCACTGTTGTGATGGCCCACTGTTTCGATAATTGGCAAAAACGGGAGGTGGCCTGGGCTAGTGGTACCACGTGGCCTGGCCTGGCCTGGGAGCAGGTACCGGTGGCAGGCCCTCCAGTTTTTGGATTCTGGCGGGACTCTGTTTGGGCGGGTAGCGGTGGACTGCGTTTTTGTAAGGTGGCCACCTTTTTCGAAGTTCAGGGGCCGTGCTCCCACCACGCCCCTGACCTTGCAGTCTGCAGCAACGCCGTTGGTGGTTGACGTCCCGTCTCTCTCTCTCTCTCTCTCTCTCTCTCTCTCTCTCTCTCTCTCTCTCTCTCTCT